TCTGTCACAGCCAAAAAATACACTCCAGACACGCCGCTGGCACTAGAGGCACAGCATGGCCGCCTAGTAACGGCCCCGACCACTGCCGCTCGACCTGACCGGAAAAAACCGTAGCAGGAAGCTAGCAAAGTCGTAGTATATATCGTCACAAATAGAACTACCCGGTAAACCGTAGGCAGAGAGACAGAAGAGGACAACAAACGAGGGGCTGTGACAAACTGTTTCGTCGAATTTTCACCAACTCATCAGGAGGCTGAACCCTCAACAGTCTGCAGAATCCCCTCACTGATTACACTGTAAATGATAATCTACCTTAACCAAAATCAAAGCAGACTATCACTCACCCACACCAGATGGAAAACTCTACAGACTGTCGGTTCACACTCCATCATAAGCCAGCAAAACATCCACGACACAAAGAAAGGTCTGTCACAGCCAAAAAATACACTCCAGACACGTCGCTGGCACTAGAGGCGTTGTCGGCGTTCTGGACGGGCTGAACGCCCGAACCCGAGCGCCCGAACGTTCGACACCCCCTCTCGACGCGTTCCGTCGTTCAGCCGAACGCGGGTCCAAAAACAAAAAAAACAAAAAACGAATTCCAAAAAATCTGAAAAATATATATGTTATGCAGAAGAATAAACTAAACAACATTTTCCTCAACGTTACATCCAAATTCGTTACCAAATTTGAAATAAAAATCGAAGACTAAAAATAAATAATAATAATGAAAATAAAAAAAAATAAAACGAGAATGAAATTCTTGAGTGGGCGAGCACGTTTTTGGCACCGCCATCTTTGGCGATTTTTCATTTTTGTTTGGCTGTCGCAAATGACATGAAAATTTGTATATGTGTATCTTACATAATAAAGAATCTAAAAATAAAGTTTAAAAAAATAATATTTTTTTTCATGCCCCGAAATAAAGGAAACACAAAAAGTGAAAAGAGAGAAAAAACAAATTAGTGAGTGGGCAAGCAAGTTGTGACACCACCATCTTTGCCGATTTTTCATTTTTGTTTGGATAAACAGAATGACTTTAAAATTAATACGGAGATACCTTACATCACAAAGAACACACAGAACAAATTTCAGAAAAAAAAATAAAAAATTTAAGTGTCAAACTATGTTTTGGCGGGGTCCAAACTCCTTCAGGTTCGGGCGCCGTACGGGGACCCGAACGCCCAAACGTTCGGGAGTCCGCTTAGGGGCCTTCGTACGTTCGGCCTGGCAAACCTGTATATATATATATATATATATATATATCGTCAAATAGAACTGCCCGGTAAACCGTAGGCAGAGAGGGAGAAGAGGACAACAAACGAGGGGCTATATATATA